CAGACTACTTGGTTGGGGTCCGCGTGAATATCGTAACCAATGGTTGGAGACTGTGTGTGACATGTCTCAGAATCGATCACAATGGTGTCGGTGTATACACTCCCTGTCTTCCCTTAAACCGTGAGATTAAAATCGCTTCATATCTTTAGTTTTACGAACTAATTCTTTCTTCCTGTATTATATCCTTATTTACAATGTTTCTTTTACATATTACTACCAGTGAACTAATTACTTCTATGAATTTGGTGTTCATCTTGTTGTGTTAATGAGGTATGGCAACTTGAACCGATGCATATGTGTCTGGTCCTACGTTGTAGCTAACTGGCTGACTGTCTGACCTATTAAAACAGTTTTGTATTTGTTTCTAAAACCAACACATTTAAGTCAGTTTACTGGTACTGGGAGGTGGGGAACCGTTAGTATTTAAAGTCTGTTGAATGTTTTTTTAGAGATTATAATAGCATGCCAACAACTTATATGCGATCAAGGCGTTCATGCTTCAAACCCAAACATGAAAACCTCATAGTATTGAAAGCGAAAGCAATTTTGCTCAAGTATTTAGAAGCATTTGAAATCCATAGATTAAATGATACTCTTGGAATTCTTTGAAATATTTTCAATGGTGGATGGATTAGAGGTAGTTTGAAAGTAAGGTAGATGCCACTATATCAAAACCTGAAATCTATCCCTGAAGTCATTGACTACTGGTTCAGATCATATGGGAAAATATGGACTTCTTAGTTGAAGCCATTGTGATTTCGTAGTATACAGTACGAGAACCTATAAGCAAATAGATTATGTGTATAAAAATGAATCATGATGAAGTCTGACATGGTATGAGCTGTTAATCTAGTTTGTTAAACATTTCTTAAGTATCATTTAGAGAGATAAACACAAAGAAATCCTACAAGATGAAAATAATAACACTAATATTTTAAGTGAAATGAAAGATAGGGGGAATATAGATAAGATAATGTGGTCTAAAGCACAAGGTTAAATATTACTCAAAATTGTCGGTAGACGGTAGTGTATAGTTGATATGTCAGTGTTGAAGCAACGGATTCTAAGACAATATCACTTAGTTCCTCATCATCCATTTCATTTGTTTTACTTACACCGTTGGCAGATGGAGAATAAATATGCTTTCTAATTAAAGTATCCTAAGAAAAATAGCTACCAAATGGTGATACGTCCCATATTTGTAACCAGAGATCTAACATTTAATGCTCCTTGATGTTCAATGGTTCGCCAGATGATTTCAGTTTGTCATGAGAAACTACCTTCAAAATGTGTATCCACCCGAGTATGGCAGTAGTAATCTCTTTAATGTTTCATTTAAATACTTATATGAAATATATATTACATGTAAACCACATTAGTATGCGTTGTTCTTTTAAATGATTACATTTATACTCCATTTACCATTTAATCACTTGCAGAACAAATGAATTGATTCGTTATCCAGGCATAAAATGCTTCAATCTTGTTCCTTTTTCTCTGTAGCTATCGATTACTTGGGTAGATGTTTGTCTAACCATCAAATCATGTGACATAAGCTTCATCCAATGAATTCGAACAATTCGGATTGTAGAACTAATTGTACCTATCGTGACTATAAGATATGATTACTTGCACTTTCCTCAGCGCATTTGGTGCTGTATGTCTCCATGTTAATTCTAGGTTATTTCACATGATAATAAATTTCTAGTTATTTATAAAAGCGCGTGAGTAAATAGTTCGGCTAGCACATATGATTCGTTAAAAGGGATCGGAAAATTGTTTACAGTATTATGACAATTATAAAGTAAATAGTATAAAAAAAGTCAAACAACCAGCCAACATTGCCCGAGTTAATTGTTATAATATCGAAGTGATAGTCAGGTACTTGTCTTTATACATGATGATTGATCTTTTGTAATCTATAAAAGAGAGTGGAATCATATATATTTTAATTCCTGAAAAAAAGAGTTGTCTTTAATTTAATGAAGTTAGATTATATTGGTACTTATTGTATTATTTCCCTGCAACCACGATATTTCTGATTACGTTGGAATCCCATGATTTGTCATTTATTAAGTCGTTTTCCAAATAAGGATTGTATTTATGAAGGAAAACGTTTCTGAATCTTCTATATTTAACACTTAGCTTGTTGAACTGATGAAAATAATCTTGATAAATAGATGATTAATGACAACACTATGTAATTGACTAGTAACTGCTCACAAGATCTTAGCATTTTACAATTGATTGATCACTGGGTGGTGATCAATGTCTTTGCTTGTCTAGTCCTTATTAGTGCAGATCGAATGCTATCGATCATGTTGCAATGTGGCCACCAGTCTAGGTGACTCGACATTGCGGGCACTATGTATTGAGATTTAGATGGTGGTTGGAGGTAGTCAACAGGAAACCCTGGACCCGGGTTTCGTACTAGTTGGCACTCGTCAGCAAGGTGTACCTGTAATCATGAGGGAACTGGTGCTCCCTGGTGGATTCGATCTCGTGTCACCCAGCTTCACAGTCAGAGACGTTACCACTGAGCTATCCGAGCCGTGACTAACCTTCTGTAGGAGCACCTGCAGGCAGCACCAGTTCCCTCAAGATTACAGGTACACCTTGCTGACGAGTGCCAAGTAGCACGAAACCCGGGTCCAGGGTTTCCTGTTGACTACCTCCAACCACCATCTAAATCTCAAGATCTTAGCATTGTTTGATTTAGTCGTATACCTCTTAGGATCCACAACGTCTCTCATATACACCTTTCCTGGACTTTCGGCCATGGATTTTTGATATTACCATTCTCTTTAGTCTATCAACACCGGTAACTGAATGAAGTGTTTTCTTTTAGATTAATTATTATTTATCCAATTTCGTGTGTGTTTATTTAACACTTCTTCAACCCCTCCCTCACGTGTACGATTTTTTGTTTTGTTTTTCAAAACATAAACAAAGTGCTTAATAGGCTCATTTATCAATGAAAAGAATATTAAATATTTACATCCGATATTCAGTTGTTATCTCATATTTGTTTACATTCGTATGATATAAATATATCCTCTCTACTTAAGCCCAGTTAAATTTGTTTACCGATTATTTTGTTGTTTTTTTTCTTCGAATGAATGTCAATTATTTGTTCCTTTATCATAGTTTTGGTTTTTTTTTAACCATGACCTATTTATCTAATTTCCCCCCTATGTATAAGTTGATCAGAGTTTGTTTTTGGTCTCGAAAATTGAGGACAAAATGGATCCTGTTTAAACTTTTTCATTACATTGGAATAGTTAGAGTGTAACAGACATCATTTTAACACTGTTGACATTTTAGTTGAAATTGCATTACTGTTACAATAATGGTTCAGTTAATTTAATGAGATTTATCAAAGTAACTCAATTGATCTAACTGTTAATAATACACTAATAACATTTAACTGAATAGATAGATTCTCGAAATATATAAGTCTTGTTAGTTTACTGATTAAATATGTACATATATGTATTGGTGAATTAAAGCTATTATTTATATTTGGACAGTATTCAATCAAAATAGTATGAGTTACTTGTTGGTTAATAAACAATTACTACTTTAAGGTCACAAAGTAATCAATAATGTTTCGATTGACGACTATTATACCAGTTAATTAAGGTCACAAAACTAACGTTCATCGGAATTGGATTCTGTATTATAAATACAAACGTACATCAAGAGGATAATTTATAACTCTTAGAGTATATGTTTCATGGCATAGTTTCCATCTTATGTTAAAAGATGATCATAGTCGACAAATACTATCCATTAACATGTTCCAATGAGATAATTCCAAATTCCTTTTTAATATAGAGATTAGTAAGAAAATCTTGTACTGTACCATAAACAGTAATTCAGGATTTTAAACATTGATATACCTTGATAAGTATATCTTACAGCTTACACTAGCTTACAATAGTTCTTTCCTCTAAAGCTGACCAACCTAGCTTCAGTTGTTACATAAATTTGTCTAATTATCCATCATCTGAAAACAAGAAGACTAGGTCTTGTGTGATCCTGGATAGATGATACAATTACACTTGTCGTTGTAATAAATACAACATCACTACCACAATGAATAAGTAGAAATAGGAAATATATGACAGGTAAGTAAGAATTCCAATTTAGTGAATCCTAAACATTCACATTTGATTGCAACAAACTTTATGTATAAGATCTAAGCGAGCTATAGAAAATTAATTGAAGGAAAAGGGAAAATGAACCATCGAACTGTTGACAGGTTTCATGCAAAGAAATAGCTGCTATTGAGCTGTCTCTGTTTAAATGTTTTATTCACTTTGAATTATTCATTTTATACCAAAGTTTATGTCGCAGATTAATCTTAATTAGGTAGCTATCAAGAATTAGGTAGTTCTGGACATTTGTTTCTTCCTAATCTAGGACTCCTCAGAAGTCTACATCCACAATCCCCCCAGAACTCGAACCCAGGACTATCAGTATCATAGTAAGGATTTAACCTTTAGACTACTGTGTCAGTTTCCCGTGGTTTACATTCGTTTTTATGTATTTCAGGATATTTATAAATGTAAGTAAAGGTTGTCCAAAAAAGTCAAATTAATCTTTTGCTGATCAAAAACTTTGAAAAATGACCATTCAAATCTAACAACCAATACATTGGTCATTTTTCCCAACCTAATCGATCAGTCATGTAAAATATCACTAATAACAGCATATTTTTCAGAAGCCTCCACAAAAATTCAATTTCGCTGTTAATCACATCAATAATCTTTGACGCTTTTTTTTGAAGATCAGTTAGCCTTAAATTTCAATCTGTCTACCTTTTGACTTAATTCATTGTTCATAAGTCGTATGTTTACGATCAGGCCTACACAGTGATGTTTATTATAGGAACATTTCTAATGTCCTTTTTTTATCAGATTTAACAATACACTTGACTTTTCCATTTTATTTATGTAATATTTCCGAATTGTATGGTTTCTGTTCAATTAACTTAGAGACAATGAAAAGGCTAATTTATATTGGAAACGATATTTATCTATGGACAATAGCGAAATCGTAGGTACGTTGTGAATTAATACTTTTTTCTTAGTTCGATACGTTTAAAAATGAAGAACAATATTTTTCGAGTGTAGCTGGTTTATATGCTCAATTTTAAACTAATTTATTATGAGGCTTAGCGATACCCAAGAAAAGTTTTCAATATAGTGTTATTGAACCGGATGAAAGATTTTGCGATCGCCCAACTTCGAGATCAACAGGTCACATCCCGTAAGGATCGATTGTGCACTGGAATTCGTCACTATACTTCAACCTCTTCGATTATGAGAAGGCGTTTAGGAGCGCAGATAGGAGAACCTCATGGAACCATCTTTGACACTATGGAGTGAGTAGCTGAGAATATCGTCAGCATTATCTGAAATTTATACAACAGATTACACTGCAAAGCTGTGCATGGAGGACAGATACATTTCAAGTGAACACCAGAGTCAAACAAAACTTCTTACTCTGCCCCTTTCTTTTTCTTCTGGTGGTTGAATGGATTATGAAGACCTCCGCATCTGAGGAAAAGTACGGAATACAATGGACAATTTAGATGCAATTAGAAGATTTGGACTTCACATATGACTTAGCTCTTCTATCCCATACACATCAACAAATGCAGGCCAAGACAACCAGTGTAACAACAGCCTCTGTATTAGTAGGTCTCCACATGTACAAGGGAAAACCAACATCCTTAAATAAAACATGGGGAATACCAACCCAATCACACTTGATGGAGAATTTCAGGTACCTGGGAATCGTCATCGATGAACAAGGAGGATCCGATGCAGGGGGGGTAAGAAAGTTGGCGATACTATTTGGTTGTCCGAACCACAGTAGTTCGATGAATTAGAGTTGGAACATATGACTGATAGTAATGACGATAATAATAATAATAATAAAATTCTGGATGCCTTTATACACTAGAATGCCGCGCTGAATATAAATTCGATACATCTCACTGAACAATTTGAAACAAGCGTTTAAATATTACCATTTGAAAATGTCACGTTATTGTTGCCGAAACCAATTGATATATTGTCAAAAGTTGTGCTAATATGAGAATTATTGCTCTAGATGATAGGGTATTATGTCATACTGCCGATTCTACTATATCTAAATATCTTTAATATAATTATTTCTACTGATTATTTACACAGTAGAAAATTACACTAAAAGTAGTGACAATTTTTAGGGTGTTACTCAAATTTATAAAAATACCCAGTTACTCATTGTTATTTGATTGTGATACATTTATGAACTGGATGACGTTGAATAGTTTAAACGCGACGATACGATTAATTGATTTGAAGTAATCTTGCACGATACCTGGATATTCCATTTGACCATACATTGGGGCGCGTGTTGTCGATGCACACTGCTTAGAAGTTTGAAAAGTAGGATAGAGGAACCGTACAGTATGTGCTTCGTAACTTTCAATGATTTCCAAGTTAGTGCCATTTCGTAATAAAAATATGACCTACAAAATTAGTATTTTATTATGTCTCAGTGTGACTCTGAAGAATGCTTAAGTTGTTACTGAATGTTGCATTAACGTTTTTCGTCAATTTGACGCGTTTAAAACAAAAATGAAAGAAAACGTTTTGAAATGGAGTTCATTGCTAACATTCTCAATTTAAACTCAGTTATTAATGGATGAGAGGAGTTACCTTTCTTTTGTAATAATAATACTAATAATAGCAATAATCTAGTTCTTTTGCAGGTTTATTTACTCGTCTTTAAGTCGTATTGTTTGATGTGTAAAGCATACCATAACTCAAATATCTAAAGGGAACTTTTTGCAAATTTTCGGCTTACCATATAAAATCCATTTGTATCAAACCAATATGTTAGTTATTTTTCCTTCAAAATCCACGTTATAAACGTTAAAAAACAGTCTCATGCATTCTCTTTTGAAGTTCATGTTCAATTTATGTTATAACTTGTGGCCTGTGCCCCCTGCTAATGTGTAACGTAACGATACTGCCAATTAAAGAGCAGTGAATTATCGATCGGACCAATGACGCCTAAAACGCGTACGAGCAGTCTAGAGTCCTGATTGATCCTACTTTCCGCCTAGCCCAGTCAGTTAAGTTCAGTACACCAATCTCAGCCTCCACGATATCAGTCATGTATTTCAAACATACTGGGTTTATATACCAACCAAACAGACCACATCGTACCAATAAAATAGAAAATAACATTTGTACAAGATTTAGCCAAATGTGGCTGTGAATGTGTGAGGTAGTAATTAATAGACGGGGCATAATTCAAGAATGATAAATCATATAATAATAGTTCATAGGTCAAAATAAAGCTCATAATAAGAGGGACATGAATATGTATAGTGTAGTTATTTAACAATTATACCATAAAAATACACTCATGGTACTGGTCCATAAATGGATCCCCAAAGTTACCATTCATTATGCTTATCGGGGTATAACAATTTAATAGTCGTTTCTTGGAAATATTTCTCATCGAATTTTTTTAATTTATTATTAATAAGGAAATCAATGAAATTCGTTGATTTTCATAACATTTTCTTTTGATAGATATATTTGTTGGACAATTAATGAGTACGCTTGAATGTGGTGAATGTTCATTTAAATCAACTACATTTGATCCATTTTGGGATTTAAGTTTACCAATACCGAAAGTAAGTTGTTCATTGTTTTATACTAAAATTTAAAAGAAAATTAAATAATTTTTGAAATTTTATTCTTATTTTTAAAATACACAAAAAAACGTGTTTCTAGTTTTGCAACACTGCAATTTCATGATGCCCATATAGAGTCAAACCCCATAACACGTATAGATCTCACGTGGCATCTATTCGCAGATTGAGACAAAATCAATTAAAGTATGCAAACATTTTATCGTGTTTAGTGTCATAATTTTCTAATGTTCAATAGACTCAACTTTATGAAATAACAGGAAAAGGTTGTAGCTTAGGTACTTACTGGTCAGCGTTTTTTTAGCAAGGTTGTTTTCTGTGGGATGGGGTTGCTCATCCTCCTCCTCCTTTATCCGGACTTGAAACTGGCAGTAACCCTAGAAGAGCTACTGGTGGAGTTTGTGGCTAAGGTGGATGTATTGAATAGTTCCCAATTCTCTGAACTGCTTGGTTAATATAGTCTTGTTGTTAGAGTCAATATCATCACTGTCATCGATGATGACAAATAGAATTGAATGTTTTACAAAGTGCTTGTAGCCGTCTGCGATTGTTGAACTGAGTCATGCTAGTAGGTGCAAGCCACCTTGTTGTGGTCAGGGCATAACCAATGATCGGCGTCGGGTGATATGGCACAAAATCTGTTGCACTAGTCCTGGTTCATTCACTATTTCTTTACCCTAGAATTTTAATATTAAAATAAATTTGCAAATTTTATTTCGTGAGTTTATTCTTCATTCTAGAATCATATTGTTTATACTTAGTGATTTTGCTATCACTGATAGTAATTTGGCATTTGTTTTGATAACTTCATTCGAGTGTGTTGATATGCTGTGGCAACTTGAATTGGTGAACATATATGTGAGATTGTGTTTTGTCATTAACTGATTAGAAAGGTTATTTGACCTTGAATTTTACCTATATAGTCATATCAGTTAAAAGTCTATCCATATGGCATTTTAGTACTCTGATGAAAGGTTTGGAAATGTGGATATTTGTGTCATATTACGCAAACATTCCCAACTGTTGTAGATTCAAGTGATATAAGGCAACTCCATTAGTAGCAACATGTAAATGTTTGGGTCGACAACATTTAAATCCTTATACTTTAGATTTTGATCAATACTGTGACAGAGTTTAGATAATCCTTTCGAATGAATTGTTCTGTTGTTCAACTGATCATCATAAATCACTTGACCATTTCTCCATTATTATTTAATACTGTTTGAAATGTATATGAAGAAATATATTTCTTAAATAATAATTTTTCTTAGTCATATACTAAGTATACAGTATCCTGATATTCCTATGGCTCAGCTGATTGGGTTCGAAACCGTGCTTATTTATGATATTACTTGCTTACTTACGACTGTTATCTCTCGTAGAGGAGCATAGACCGCCCACCAGCACTCTCCATCCAACTCTGTTCTGGCCAGTCATTTCCGTTTCTTTCCAGTTGTTATTCATCCTTTTCATGTCTGCTTCCGATTCCCGACTTAGTGTGTTCTTCGACCTTCCTCTTTCTCGTTTCCCTTCAGAATTCCAAGTTAGGACCTGCCTCGTGATGCAGTTTTATGATTTGCGTAATGTATTTCTTATCCACTTCCATCGTCTTTTTAAAATTTCCTCTTCAGCTGGAAGTTGGTTAGTCCTCTCTCACAGAAGGCTGTTACTGATGGTATCCGACCAACGGATATTTAGTATCTTGTGTAGACAATTTAGGATGTTGAGTGCAATCTATTGTTTTTTTATCATATCAGTTTACATGTTATTAGGATGAAGTCCGTAATCAAATACTTACCATTATGACTCAGACTACTGATTACTAGTTACTAAAAAATTTACTCAATTTCAATCCGACTTTCCTTAGTTCTGTTACAATTTAACTCTATCACGTACAAAAAAAGGAATTTGTTAGATAGATGGATCAACAAGCATATCATGTGCTCCATTTATATACGTGTTTATTGTCTATTTGATGGTAAAGTGCTGTTTACACGTTTATGTATATCGTCAATATCAAAATAAACCAAATATATATACATATAATTGTTTCAAAAAAGATTTTGATTAATGCCCAATCAAAAGTGCAAATTTGTTTTTACCTTTTTTCTTTATAATTTTGTTTATGTATATCTCATACTTTATAAAATTCCAATGTACGTTTTGATACCAGTCGAACAAATTGATTTGTAAAAAGCAAAACTTCAAACAGAATTGATCAAATAATAAACAGAGATAAATTTTAGATTGTAGTGGAATCTAGTAAACTCTGTTCATTTTATATGTGGGACTCGTTAGATGGGTGTTCCTGCATTTCAGAGTTGATGCTCATTTTATGAATCGAACCCAGATCGTATCAATATCAATATCAGGATAGTAATATTGTTTTGTATTCGATAAATAGTTCAGTTCTCACTTTCTTGAATATTGATAATTGAGTAATCATATTACACTTTTTATAGAGATAAGAGGTGGTGTTATGGAGGTTGGTCAGTTTAAAGTAAGTTTTCATCACTAACTGACTTACACTGCATAGCTGTCGAGAAATAACACAGAACATTGAATTACTGTTACATTCTACTTCGTGACTTTTTATTGTTGTGAACCAGTGACCCCAAACACACATACACGAATAAATTCAGCACCTTTGGGTTTCGTTTTGGTCACAACACGTTCTAAGTCAGAATCCACATTTTCAACTTCAGTCAATTTGTTGTGTTACTGGACAAAATCGGACCACGATTTTCTTTCATCAATCAACAGCAAAAATATTGCAATATTGATTTATCCCGTTTCATTGAGTGAATTACAACGTAATTTATCACAATGCAATCAGCATTAAGGTCCTAATAATACAACATGGATTTCTCCTATTCAATCAATCAGTGATATTTCAGCGATCCGACCAATTTATTCATATTTTTCTTCAAGTTGAGCAACCGATAGACAGCATGAATTTCATTTAATTTAAAAAGAAAAAGCATTACAGAATGAAATCAGAAGAAAGAATCTAGTTTGTTGTGATTCAGATCTGAATTGTTAGTAATTGACGAGTCTAATGTTAGCTTGACTACCAGTTACATCCATAATACCTATCGTAGAACCTCACATATATGTCCATCAATTCAAGTTGCCACAGCATATCAACACACTCGAATGAAGTTATCAAAACAAATGCCAAATTACTATCAGTGAAAAAGCAAGATCATTGATGCTCACTTCTGAGGAGTCCCATACTAAAACGAAACATCCGTCCAATGATTAGCAGGTTTTCACTGGTGGTCTGGCTTAAATCGACTATTAAAAACCATCATTACCAATTTTCTCTTTCTTCAATTCTATTTTAACTCTCTTCTCTTTCTTCTCTCAAACAGTAGTTGCTAAGTTTAATTTGGTTTTTTTTGTCTTACTATTATTGACTTAATTTTTTTTTCATTTTCGAGTAAATTATCTTCATTTACATTCAGCTTTACACCCTACTGTTTATCGATTTTTAAGGATAACTTATTTACACTTATGATGGATATTCCAATAGAGAATAAGCAAGAGAATGATTCTTTTCTACATTATATGATAATCTAATTGAGAAAAAAATTCTATTTTGTTCTCATGTTAACTAGATACCCTACTGTTTTGTGGTACTTCTATTAATATTTCGAAACATTGACTCATAGAATGTAGAAAAAATTATCGTTTAGAATGGTAAAGAGATAACAGGGAATGATAGTTCTCTTCATAGATGATAAACAAAGATTTATTTAGGAGTTTATCTGGAATAGATGTATTCCAAGTGGTAATGACAATCCAAGTACACATAAGTTCTCTAAAGCTGTACAGTTCTAGATATAAAATTCTTCATTCCTTTGATAGATAGATAGTTCATTGTCCAGTTAGTTAGTAATCCTAAATTGAATCGTAGGTTACGTCTTCGGTATAGTAAACATTGTTTGTTAAATGTGTTGTGCATACTAAACTATTCCTTACCTCACAGAAAGAAAACTTGAGTTTATCAAACTCCGGGATGTTATCAGTCTATAAAATCGTATAAGGATGTGTAGATGTTTGGGTTGGTGTACTATCTGAAAATCAGTATCACCGATACAGATCTATTCTTTCTCATCCCATAAATTAGGAGTTCAGTATAGTGGCAAATATTGTGTTTTTCTATTGCTATTAATTTTCAACCGTATTTCGTATGTCTAAGGATTCAGTGATCAATGTATTTTACTACTCACGTTTCTCATTAGTATAGGGGTTTATGGATATTGTTGGATGTTCTTGACATTACTAACCATCCTGAGTTAAAGATCCATTGGAAATCAGGAAACAGTGGAGAACTGCTTTGCCTTAGTACAAGTTGCTCATCGGTGCACATCCGCAACCCAAGACGAGATCGAATCCAAGAGTTTTGTTGCCATGTCAGACGCTTGACCTCTAAGCCACTGAGCCAACATCTAACGATATAGTAACTTCGAGAAGATAATTCTGGAATTTTAGTGATAATTAGTGACCAGCGGAGCTGATTACCCACTAAAAAAAAATGAAAAATCGTTGGTCAACATTGCTAACTCTCTGAGGTTAAAAATGTGCACGATTGGATGCCGGCTCAATGATTCGCAGGTTAAGCGTTCATGCACGAAAGCGAAGGTCTTAGGTTCGATCGCTAGAGGCGAGGTCGTGGATGTGTATTGCTGGAGTTCCTTACTAATACGAAACAGCTGTTCAGTACTTCCTAGATTTCAGTCGGTCTGCTCATGGGCATAAATTACCTTTCTATAAATTTCATTTAAGTTTCGATTCCATACTTAACATTGGGCAACATAATCACTGATAATAGATCACAACGAAATCACTGTACCTTTATTGAATTTGAAATCGATTAGGCTATCCATATTTTCACTTTATTTTCCAACAAAACAAAAAAACAACAACAACAACTCGTTTCTATCCTAAAGTACATGTTTATTTCTTATAGTAATTATCTGTTCCTTTTTTTCTATATTTCCAACTATCATACTATCAAATATCAACTTTATAATCAATCATTTCATTACTATTCAATATTCATTGAAATTTATACACTGAATATCAGTAATTGTTTTCAATAATATCTAGTGTATTCATGAAGTTATTGAAATTCTTTCTTACTCATTAGTAGTCTTCTGTTTAATTTGTTTCATCTTATACTATTCTCTTCATTTATAATTTATACTATGTATATATAAATATTTGTCTGTGTATTTATATTGTATGTATGCCGGGTTTTTAATTGTAACTCAATTACAATTTACTAGTCTGAACTTTGAATACAGCAATGAATTATAAGACAGTATTTATTATCAGGTGATTGCATATATATACCTGTGTATTCAATGACACTATCAGTAATCAATAAATCAAACATAAGAAATTGTAAGTAAAAATGGATGGTGGCTAGTATTGGAATCCAGGACGCTCATTTTGTCCTAATTAGGATTTGTCAGCCGGACGTACCCGCATCCCAAAGTTGATGTTCACTCCGGGACTTGAACCCAGTACCATCCTCTTCAAACGCCATCGCGTTATTCACTTAGCTACTGAGTTTTAATAAGCCCCAAATAGGACGAAACGCGAGTCCTGGATTCCATTGTTAACCACCATCTATTTTTGCTTATAATGCTTGTGACTTAAGGTAATATCGAGACAATCCGTACAGGATGCAGAAATGCCAATAAAAAAGATTGATTGATTGTAGTCCTGAAAATAGATGGTTAGATTCAAACAAACAGTACAAAAGAAATTGTGCCTAATTATTCTTATAAATATGAATTTAGTCTATCTGTGACAAAATCTTGGTAGGGATATAAAAACCTGATATAACTTTTGCCTATATGCGTCACCAAAATCACAGGCGAGATTCCTTTCTTAACAGTGAATTAAAGGAGTATACTAGCCAATATTTTTTCTGTATTGATCTTTCACTACAAAACATGACCTGTGAATTCAGGACACATGCATAATCTTCAAGTCTTTGGTTATACGTGACTTCTAAGGATTTTTCGCGCATCGTTTGATTACTAAGTTAGTATTCCTGAGACCAGATACACAGTAGAAAGTAGACATAGTAGGTTAAGTGAGAATCCGCTGACTACGTTGCTAAGTTCCATATGCTGACGACAATTGGATGTTAGATACATTGGGTGAAACGCTCAGAGTCATCTCTGTTGGGTCAGATAATCTCAGTTTTTGTGTTCCACTAAGTTTCGACATACTGTGTTATTTCGTAATTCTCGAATTAACCCTTTCTTCTCGAGCCATATTCTTGATTGATAACATTATTTTGACTAATTTGCTATGATATATATGCCTATTAAGTAGGTGAATATTCTCAAAGTCGCTATAAAATCGCTCAAAGGTCGTCTATAAATGATAGTCTCACTCATCATACCTTATTCTTACACTTGGAGACTAATTTAATTACACTTATACAAGTAACTTTATAGTCACGTGTTGGTTCGATGCACGTATGGTGCAGGATAGATATCAGTCTGCCTGTGTGTGTCGTAAATGCTTCATAGCAATTCACAGTGTATTAACGGATGGTTTAGGTGGAATATAAAGATGAATTTTAAGATATGATTCAGTCACTAACTTTCAATCACATATGTTGTCGAAATGAGTTAGACAAAGGATATTAATGCTGATACCCAAAATATGTCACTAGTCGATCAACTCTATCGACTATGAAGTCGTGCCCATACCAAGATAACCAAGCTTCCTTGATTGTATCCCATATGATAATTATGATAAGTGAGTGAAGATCTAAAATAATGGAAATTGTAATCCGTCACTTTGTTGAAGATGAATTCATTCCTGATTTTCTTACAACTCTGTAGTTCGAATATTATTTTATAATTCCCTTATTTCTTAATGTTATTTTTCTCTTGGCATCTTTTTTTTCTACTGTAATCAACATTAAGGTTTTTCCGACTCAATAGCTTTTATTCTTCCATAATAAATTCCTCTCATTATACATACATGAGATGCTGTAATTTAATCATATCAGTGAATATTTATACCAGGTCCTACTAGCTAAACGACTGACTGACTAAGTTTAAGCGGGAGCTTCTATGAGGTGTTGAAATTGTTTTTTTTTAGTTTTTAAATATGATCCTCATTGTCTTTTTTTTCGTTTGCACCATCTTATTAATTTGCTAGAAATCAAATGTCAGCATATTGGATTGTTTAAATTTATTCACATCTAAAGAAGAACTAGATGGTAATGAAAGACCCGTAAGTTTCATATTATTATTAACATTGATTTATAATTGTAGACATATTATTGTTATTTGTTATCATTATTGATGGTAGCAGTAGTTGTGGTAATGTAGCGAACGAGGACTTGGTGGGGAAAACCAATTTATTGTTCAATGCAAAATTACAGAGTGTCTTGGTTAAGTGTTGAAACTATACATTAAATTCTTCATTTGCACATCCTTTCATCATTTGTCCTTCACATGCTTCATGCTTTGAATTCCGTTATTATTACAATTACTTCTTGTATCCCTTTCTGTTTTCTTCAGTTTAACCTTATTTTGTCAAGCATTCCACTTCTGATTGACGTATGTACTACCTAGTAGTAGTAGTAGTATACACCACAGTAGTAGAAATAGTTTTACTGTGAGTTTACTGATTAATGAAAGCCTGAACGATATTATTTTTACTAACAATAACATTCTATTAAAAATACAATCGAAGTAAAGGAAACCTGTAACTGGTTAATTCATAGAAAGATGTGTTCAGTTGTTTTGACCCGGATTCATACTTTGTTGTGAAAGTATATAGCATGTTCATAATTTGCATAATTAAAAAAGATCAGTTGAGCTGTACTATTATTTTTATCTTATTTGGTTATTTTATTTAACATTTTCGATGATAGATTATGGTTATTTTCTAGTTCTCAACCAGGAAATCTGAACCCATTGACGGACCTTAGAAAAACAGTCAGTGTTTTAGCGGGTTTATTCTGTGTTTTCGTCCATCAGTTCTTAGTTATTGTTCCCATCGTTTTGTGGATTATACTTCAAGATAATAGTTGATTAAGTATCCATAACACATATATTCCAGCCACTTTAGTCAATGAAGATTCATAGCTTCACCAATCAATTTGTCATTTTTATTAAATACGTTGGATCTTACTTCAGGATTACTCACTTGTTAGTTCCACAATAAACAAGCAATGTTTTTATTTCAGAGATCTGACTAATAAATCCATGCACACATTAATCTTTCGTTCATTTTACAATGATTTAGATGTAAGTAAACAGAATGCAACTTTCTTGATCATTTTCATTACACTTCAAAATCGTTTTCAATAGCGTATTTACATTCACTCTTTTTTTCCTTAGATCCCAAGTTTTTAAATGCTCTATAAATTTCCTTTATTTCATCAATTTATACTTTCTGGAATCTTATCATCGTTACCTAATCTTTCCTATTTCCACTTATATTTCTACTAATGTGGTGTGTACTACTGATATTGACAGATATAAGTAGTATGTACCACCAATCGAAAGTGAAATGTCTGGCGGAAGAAGGTTGGGAGAATCGAATAGAAGAAAATGGGAACAGGGAGTGATTGGTATGGAAACGAAGGATCAACAAAGTCTGAGACAGTTGATGGATATTTTGCAAATGATGTATTTACTGTATAGTTCTCAGATTTTACCAAGATATTCTGTAATGTTGTATTCAAACACATCTGATGCATTTGGTCAGAACAACAATGAAAGTTTCTCAATTGAACCGCTTAGCACATTGAATACCTATGCTATACTTTTATCCGTAAAATTTGATTTAAGCGCGAAGTTTTCAGTTTTTTAATGGTGTTCTAGCTTAGATCAACTACAATCTCCACAAATCTTCATACTCATAAAATTAATTGGCATATATATTCATCGAGTCATGGAAACGAAAATATATGTAATATGATAATTTATTGAACATGTGATTATTATTTTCACTTCATGTCAAAATGTTCTTTTTTCAGCATGGACATATTCAAACATTACGCATTAGCTTTAATAACGCTATTCGTTTTCCAATAGGAAAAGACCATGTTCTATCGTTTCCGTCATAAAATATTGATAAATATCTATCTATTATATTTTACGAATGTTGATAAAGTAACGAATATGATTTCACTAGGATTATAAGACTACATAGTGTATGTGATGGAAAAGCTGCAAAGTACATTGTGGATACCACATCAGTTGAATATATATATCGGAATTAGAAATGATCCGTACAAAACCTTGAGTTTTCGTTCGTAACTGGTTATCACTCATAAAGATGTTTGTCCAGTTATGAATGGAAATTGTTACTGTGGATTGGATTCGAATTCGTTCCATAATCACAGATATTATTACTATCGAGCAATTTGAAACGGCTTGATTCTTAAATTCAGTAAGGCTACTGTTCGGTTTATAGAAATGTGTATTTTGTTATCACGACGAATAAGTCGGATTTCCGATTGGTTCGTAGTTGTTTGAATCTTCCCGTCGTTGATGTTGAGGACTGAAATTGATCAGTCTTCTCTAGCATATGCGCATTCAGCATAACCACGTATTCATGAACATTTCAAGCTGTCTGATAATGATTAGGAGTAAAAATTAGGGGGTTTGTTCCCTCCTATTCGAAGCTCGTCAACTGCATATGATTACACCTCAGTGTTGGTGTTTACCTTTGTTGTGCAAGCTTGTGGACATATTAACTCATTAGCTAAATAAATAACGCGCCTGACGTTTGAAACGAAAAGCTGCCGGGTTCGAGTCCCACTATGAGTGTCTACACAGCTCTAGATAATACCAGCTGGCATGTTCCAAAAGGGAATGAAGCTCACATAGATTCTATTTCTAGCCACTTTCTAACTCTGTTTAAAAGGCAGCTGAATATTTTTACAATAATATTTTATTTTACCCCAATTCTATAAATAAACGGAAGAAATCAATTACATTTTTCTGTTTTTCTTTTTTTTTATATTCTTAAATGAACAGATTTGTAGTCGATGTAAAACTCGAAGAAGGTGTACCAAAAGTTTTTCCATTCAGAAATTCCCACAAATTCTTGTACTTCGTATCCTTTTTATTGTTTTACTGGATTTAATTATTTTATTAAAAGGGAAAAAGTTATTAGTTATTTATATTTTGGAAGAATCTGTAATATATTAGCATATTTTCGACTACGTGATTCATTGCTGTTCTACAGAATGGGTATAATAGTTATTTTGCCATATCTAAATATTTATTTATAGAATAAAGTACATTTATTAAGTTATAGTATTTATTTCAATGTCTTTCTAACTTTACTGTGGCTAACTATTCAGTAAGAAGAGTAATTGATATACATAATGCTAGTCTAAAATCATACTTCATCCTCCATGTTCTAATACTATTGTTCTGGTCACCAAACTTTAATGTTAATCGACGTCGTGATTGTTTAGTCCTACAAGCTGATTGAATCCTATCAATCAATTTCCAATATAATAAACACTAGTCTAAGTGACTGGACACCGCATGAACAATGTTTTGATGTAACATCGTTGAAGGTATCTGGCAGAAAGCTATGAACCCATGTCTCTCGTTAGTTTGTTCTTTTCGTCAAAGTGTGATTAAGAAGGAGGTCAGTGACACTCAGAATAATTTAATGGTAACATCACGATGTACTTTCGAATCCAACAGAGCATAAATTTCCATTTAACTTCAAGTGAACCTTAATGGCAAATGCCAATTAGTACGAAACCCAAGTTCAGCGTTTCCTGCCAATTATCTTCAATCGAGGTACATTGAAACGTTGTACCCTGTTGTCGAAAGACGAAATCTCGCTACTGATGTTCGTTTGACAAGCAGTTTATTTCTCTTTATTCTTTTGTAAATATTTAATGTTTGAAAATGGAGTATTAGAAGTGTCATAAAAATGCCTTTATCTACATGTAGAGGATTACAGAATTTCTCATACTTATCAAATATTAGAACATTAGTGCACACAATATAGATCCACTTATACTAGTAGCTACATTTAAATTTGATCCGTGGAATTCAACCAAAACTTCTGGTCTGAGCCATGTTGGTATATGCAGACTACTTGGTTGGAGTCCGCGTGACTATCGTAACCAATGGATGGAGACTTCAGGTGACATGGCTCAGAACCGATCACAATGGCGTCGGTTTATACACTATTTGTCTGCCCTTAAACCGTGAGATTAAAATCTCTTCATATCTTTAGTTTTACGAACTAATTCTTTCTTCCTGTATTATATCCTTATTTACAATGTTTCTTTTACCTATTATTACCAGTGAACTAATTACTTCTATAAATTTGGTGTTCATCTTGTTGTGTTAATGAGGTATGGCAAATTGAACCGATGCACATATGTGTCTGGTCCTACATTGTCGCTGACTAACTGACAATAATCAAACATTATCAAGTGATACTAACGTTCAAACATACTAACAAGTTGATCTTCACAATCCCATTTATTTATTTTTATTTTTTGGTACACATCCAAACATTAAGTTTCTTATACCTTTTATACATTGAACCCAATATAGAAGGTGAAAAATGATTATGATAACAGTTTGAATAAATATTATTATACATAATTAACAAATGAATATACTGAATTCCTACTATTTTCTGCCAAACTTAAAATAAACTTTACAGAAAGAAATGACGCCAGAATTTTTTTCTCTATTCTTTTTTCTCTCTGTTCCTCCTTCTCCTCCTCCTCCTCATCATCATCATCACCATATTTTCTTCTTTGTTCTATAAGGAAATATGCATATACACATGGTACCATGTATATTTGTTTTTTTTTCTTCAAAGTACACATCTCATCCCCTTAAAAAGTGATATTACGTCAGCTATTATAACATAATTTGATATGGACATTTTCAAGCGACTTGCTTAAAAATGATAAATTCAATACTTTCCATACTTCGGTATGGAAATCGGTAAAAAAATAGTTGTATTCGTTGGAAAAAAAAGTGATGTAATACAATGTGGAATATAACAGTTTAGGTATTATTAATTGTAATGTGTTGTAGTATTTCATTGTTAATATTTGACACTGAATAAGATCATTTACCATTGATACAATTTGAGCTATTTGTACTATGGTATGCGCTAATTACTAATAAGAACAAATATAAGTAGTATTTAATAGGAATTAGAATTGAAATGTTTATCAATAGAAGATTGAAATAAAGAAACGAGGACTGAAAACAGAAAGCAATCAATGTAACAATAGAATTGGAAGAACAATAGATTATGTATAGGACAACTCAAAGAAAATAAGCAAATTATGTATTCAATGTACGATTTTTAATTGAAGTGTATATATATATATATATATATATATATATATATATATATATATATATATATTGGTGGTGAACGACAGATAGAATGTAAGGCTCGTTCCAGATAATAAAATACATTAATGCATAAATAGTTTTTAATGATTTTTAAGAAAATTGAATTCTGGTTTCCTTCTGTGAACTTTCATTATATTTGTCTAGAATAGTTTACTTATTACTATTATCATCTTATTGATGTGCTAAGGTTAAATGAACAGATAAATAGATTGGATATCAATATATAAATTAGCACAAAGTTTGTCGGTTTATATGATGTAAATTGAAACAGAAGGAATTCTATTATATATATATTGAAGATAATTAGAGAATGCATGCCAATTTGCAGGCATAATTAGATTGATACTGAAAATAATAAGGATAAAGATTTAAGGTTGAATTTCAATAGTTGAGATCATGAGTCAATTGAAGCTAGATCACCATGGGAAACCTGGTAGCACTGGACGGTCGTTTCGTCTTATTGTGGGACTCCTCAGAAGTGCGCTTCCACAGTCCCCCACCCCCTGCGAGATTCGAACCCAGGACCCATCACGCGAACGCTTAACCATTAGAAAATAGTGGACGGTGGTGCAGTTTCGTGGATTGATTGAAGTTAAACACTAACACTGTTGGGTGCCGGCCCAGTGGTCTAATGGTTAGGCGCTCGCGCACGAGACTGATAGGTCCTGGGTTCGAGTTTGGCGAGGCGGGATAGTGGATACGCACTGCCGATGATTCCCACAGTAGAACGAAATGGCTGTTCAGTGCTTCCAGGTTTTCCATGGTGGTCTAGCTTCAAATGACTCATGACCTCAACTATTAGAATTACTATGATATCCACAAAACCCCTTCTGATAATAAGATTAAATTGTTTAGAAAGATGTGGTTCGCAAGCTGTTCTGAGAGGACACTTTTCCCCTTAGGATGATTGAAATAATATGAGGCAACAGTTAAGGCCCAGTTATTTTTAGTAAGGAAAAGATCAATAAAATATTGTATGCAGAAAAGTATTCTGAAATATTGATATGAGTAGAATACCAAAAGGTTAGAAAGGATTGATTATCTAATGATCAAACACTAAGGATAAGCAAGAAGTCTAGTCATTTATTCGTAAAATTATGAGACTAGAAAAGAATATAACATAATTTGATAATGTTCAGAATCCTTTCAACCTTCATAATAAGTTTTGTAAATAATGGTCATCTGTAATGATAATGTAGCAAAACACATTATCCATTTCTTCAGATTACTCTCTAATAAAACTTCATAATTGATACGACGTTACCCACAAATATTGTTCTATCTTATAATCTAATACTTTTTAACCTTACAAGCATTTCAATGTATATAAAAAACATCATTCTTCTATATTATGTGTGTTTGGAATTTTTCCTTAACTAAAATGATCATAGATTTGAAACGTTTCTCTGGTGAACGTTTTCGTTCGAAAATGTCGGTTATGGTTGATTATCCTTTAAGAAATTTAGATCTGATCGGATTTGCTACTTCAAGTTGTAAGTTATTATATTTTATGTATATTTTGTGATATTTTCATAATGTCAACCAGCTATAGCCGACGTAAAACTTGATACAAAGATGTAATTTCATTCCGATTTGAGAAGTAGGTAGATAATAACAATATATAATTCAATGAAAAGTCAAAGGATGACAAACAGTCAGTAACTATAATGATTAATACTATATCTCCCTTTGATTGTCCCTATTCTTTATTTAAACTTTCCATGTTAACGAATGTTGCTTATCAAAGTTCAGTAAACGATCAAGTGTAATGTTTATTTATTATTTATTTATTTTAACACATAGATAATGGTACAAGGTGGCACCAAATACATATGCGCCACACAAATCTCATTTGATATGTGTGAGGGCTGTGATACTGCCCGGGTACCCAAACCGAAGCAGGTGATTTTCTTAGGGGGCCACATCCGAAGCCTTCGACCTGAAGGTCTGATCCACAAGGCAGTGGAGCAACGTTAGGAGATGCAGTCCCGTGGAAGCCGGTGATCAACAATTGGTTCATATACCATTAGTTCCTTCAGGACCCTGGAGTCCATGTGCACGACTGGTTTGGAATGAGGATTTTCCAACTCCCCTAGGTGGACTCTCCATATCCACCAACCCGGTTAAAGAGCCGGACATTCGCTTTTCCTCCTTTCAATTTCGTAAACAACAGTAGTGCCAAGAGGAAGCAGTGAGTAGGACTTCCCTGGAAGAGGCTATATACGCGTGACCATGTGAGAGCATTTCGAGAGGTAGAGCGGACTCTCCCCTCTCTCTACCGTACCAGGGCATTTGAGGGCTTGTGATTGATATATGATAATAATTGGTATTAAATTTTGTAAGATTTGTATAATAAGTCTTTTTTCTGAACTTAGAAAACAGATTTTTAAACACTATTCAATTAGAATTACGAAAGACGCACCGACAAAACTTTGGTAAAGTTTATTCAAAGAGTACCCAATTATATTATCGATTAGGTATTTGAACTGAAAACAACTATATTTTTCTTTTTAGTGTAGATATTGATAAAATGCAGTCTCGTAAACTCTGTAAGCCATAATAAATAGATCTTAGGAATACATTTTCCGTTTTCTAAATTTAGAAAGTCGCTTCACCAACACCTTGCTCTAATTCCTAATCTAATCGTAAGAATTATGATCAACCATGTGGGCCATTTCACTCCTTTTGGGATTTTTTCATGTAATACAAGCTGATAAAGTCTTGACGTAGATACAAAACTTGCTTAGCTTTTCGAAGCTCGCCCTACTCGTAGCGCTCTCGAGATATTTGTTTGCCAATGAAAGATTGAGGACACTGTGCATCAGTATCTGTGAGGTAAAGGTCTTAATAGTCCAAGTTATGCATAGTTTGAGAGTGTTTAACTGAAAGTATCTTTAGAACTGGTTCATATCTGTTTTGTTTAAAATACGCAAAATATTTAACCAAATAATGAAAATTTGTTCATCTGTATCAAACATTATAGTTGTAAATATTGAAATAATTTTATTGGTTATAAATAGATATTTTTCTGATTAACTATTACATCGCAACAATTTTCAACTAACCTATTTATAGCGATAATTCTTATGAACAGAAACTATACTTGTTTAATTTATCTAAGATTGATTGGCAATTAATTAATATTATTTTTCATTATTACTCTATACATAGTTTCTGTGATTATTTCATTTATCATTAACTGTACATATTAGTACAATATCGCATATATAGTAATAATAACAATAATAATGGTGGTAATAATAATAATAATGAGAAGCATTGACCAGTGGAGTTTAAACAGGTTTGTTGTGAAATAGTAACTCACTAAAGACAATCGTGGATGTGTCGCTAAATTTCGTGGATTGATTGAAGTTAGACATTATCACCAGTGGATGCCTGTCCAGTGGTCTAAAGGTTAAGCGCTAGCGCGCTAGACTGATAGGTCCTGGGTTCGAGTCTCGAGAGGCGGGATCGCGGGTGCGCACTTCTGAGGAGCCCCACAATAGGACGAAACGGCCTTCCAGTGCTCCCAAGTTTACCATGGTGGTCTAGCTTCAATCGACTCATGATCTCAACTATTAAAATTACTACAATATCCACAAAACCCCTTCTGATAATAATAATAATAACAATAATAATAATAATAATAATAATAATTATTATTATTATTATTATTATTATTATTAGTAGATGGAAATCAATGTTCCGTGTTAGATTCAATTTTGAAACACCTAGTTTCATAGTGTGTAATGTGACCGTTGTGTTACATAGATCGTAACTGATTTGTAAGCCTTAATTATTTACACTGGATGATAATAATTTGTAACTAGTATTATATTTGTAGGTAATACTCATCATAGATCGCTAATATTTAAAGTATAATTAAAAACTAGGATAGCTGCTTTAACCTAGCGCTTAGCTTCTCAGTAGTATGCGTCCAATACCCCACTGGCGAATAATTCCAAGACATTGCGGTCTTGTGGAAAACGCATTGCCATTAGAGCCGCTGGGTTGGGGTGCAGTGGTACTATTCGAAACTTAGTCAGTTTGGTATGAAGCTATAAGGTTATGCAAAGCGCTTATGGATAAATGTTTCACTCCAACATCTTTCAACTGCAGTAGTTTTGATTTCTCACTAGAACTAGTGTTACAACTTGAAATAAGTCACTGGTGAGCTGGTACCTTAAATGCGATACATCTGTTACGAATACCATCACCAAGTTATATCAACCTCCGTAAAACGCCTTTAAATAAATAATAGGATATTTGTTCAATCCTTAGTGCTGGTCAATTTTTTGTCAATTTAATTGCAATCTGGATGTTAGCCTAAGTAATCTAATATGGGGTCGTTTGGTGCTAATTACTGGAGACAATCAATGAGGTAAATAATGTTTCCCCCAGACTTGCAGTTACATCTTGCTGGAAAATATCAGTGAGCACAAAAACTTATCCCTAGGACCTAATGATAACCTCAAATCCCATCTAAAACAAGACAAAGTATGTGCACTCGATATCGAGTCTAATCGTGTTATTGAAGCTTGATAATGAGTAATGATCAGTTAAACATGACATCGGCTGCTGTTATTAATCAGGAAATTTGAGCAGATGCGTATTTATTTCATAATCTACATTGTTGATGACTAATTACTTACTTACTTACGCCTGTTACTCCTCGTGAAGGAGCATAGGCCGCTCACCAGCATTCTCCATCCAACCCGAATAAGTTTCCATAACGTCCTCCTATCTACACTGTCGGATGCTTTTTCATAATCGATGAAGTTGATGTATAGTGATGAGTTCCACTCAACTGATTGTTCGACGATGATCCGTAGTGTTGCAATTTGGTCTGTGCACGACCGATCCTTACGGAATCTAGCTTGTTGATCTCGAAGTTGGGCGTCTACTGCATCCTTCATCCGGTTCAGCAACACTCTGTTGAAGACTTTCCCTGGAATTGACAGCAGTGTAATGCCTTGATGACTAATTATTTGAAGTCAATTAGAAACATTTATTGTGCGCTGTGTTTAATTTCAAATTTAGTTCTGTTGTCTTTCTGTGATTATTTCGGCTAGTTTGGAGGTAAATGGTAAGCCGTATCTCTTTGTATTATGGACTAATTATTACTGTGATAGAAAATGACTTAATCAGAAATCATAATTTAAAGCCGTTGTTTGATAAAGTAGTAACGTCTGTATATATGAAAATTATATTTGAAATAATCTCAGCGATTGAAATTTAATTAATTTCAACTTTTCGGCCAACTAACTTGTCTGGACTTCTTCAGGGTAATAATCGAAATCAAAATGATCAAAAAAATATATAGCTTCTTAACAATCAAAACTATACTCGGCGCCCGATTTCTGTCAAACTATTCGTTCTAATCTTGACGAATATTCGTACAAAATAACGTATGTACTTCAGATTTTGATTAATTCTGTTACGTGCTCTGAATAGTTTAGTTGGATTATTTGTTCTTCTACTCAACCACTCAGGATAAATTATTTAATGATCGAACAACAGTCAGTGTCCGTAGGTATGACATGTGCTTTGCACATTGTAAGTGCTGTGTAAGTACTGGTGGTGGCGTGAGTGATAAGATCAATTAACGTATAGTAAAACCAGAGAGGCTTACGTTAATCTGGTCCATTTTGGGCGCATATGTGGTGTTAGTCTGGCTGTAAAAGGTCGAATCTACAACAGTTTTGCTCTATGCTTGTGAAGCCTGGCCTCTCCGAGTTGAGGATGTTAGACGACTCTCTGTGTTTGATCATTGTTGTCTCCGAAGGACTGCTGACATCCAGTGGCAACGCGATGTTAGTAATGCAGAGATTCGGCAACGTGTGTTAGGGCACAGCGAAGATACTTCATTTAGTGTCACCATCTTAAAAAACCTGACTTCGATGGCTTGGATATGTTACAGGAATATTGTCCCAGAGCATTCCACGTCGTGTATTATTTGCCGATGGTGGGATCTGTTGAGTAAAGCGGTGATGTGGTCAGTATATGACGTTGTGTTGTGATTTGAAGGAAAGCTGTGTAGGACTGGCTACTGATGATCCTTCGTGTTTACCACCGATTTATTTTTTGTCAGGAAAAACTCATCCTTTTTATATTATAAATCTATTTGATCGTAAAATAGTGCACAGTAATAGCTTACTGTGAAATTCATTACATGAGCCATTTTATTGATTTATGTTTCAAAATTTAGGCACCCAGAAATCAGCCCAATATAAATTATACGCAGTTTCAAATCACAGTGGAAGTGTTTATACCGGACACTACACTGCATCTTGTTTAAATCCTTATACAGGTGATTGGCACTCATTTAATGACAGTCAGTAAGTTTCGTTTAATGAATGATAATTATATTTTACAAATTCAACTCAGCAACTGACTGATGCAACATTTGAGGTTTGTTCTTTTCAACACTGGATCGAATTAAGGACCATCACTTCTTGTAACTGGCTAATGCTTTCTGAGTATTTAATAATGATTCAATAGTTCACAAAATAAAGCGATAATAATTAGATGTTGTTGTTACGAGTAACTGTATTACTCTTGATATGCTTCATTAAACATGTTACAGCTTTTCAATAGAGCTACAAAAAAATTAATCTCAAAACATTTACACAATTTGTTTATAATACAATAGCTTGATGGTCTAATGATTACTGTGAGATCATATGGTATTTTGTTTTGGTTAACAATGTGCTTCACTTAAGTGATCTCAAAAAGAATGAAATTGCTATACCATTACACCAGGGCTTTCAGTCATCCTTAAACTGAAATTTTCGTCAATTTAAGCAAGAAAGAAGAATAAACCTAATTACAATCTAAATATTTTATTATATTCGGTGATTGAACTTAATTGACAGAATATCCTGAACATAGGTTTCGTGCTAACTAGCACTTGTCAATTAAGTGTACTTACAAACTTTAGAGTACTAGTTGACTCAAACTCTCTCTATTGAATTTCACTTTTGAGAGATAATACAACTGAGCTTTTAGAGACTTGAATAACTTACTGATTACCCCCACATAAAGATATAAAACTTAGATATTTTCATTGATCAATTATAAATAAAAATAATTCTATGAAATCTATTAATACCGTCTAAATTACTAAGACTAGTTATATAAAAGAATGGATATGCACTGATGAGGAGTCCCACAATAAGACGAAACAATCATCCAGTGCTTTCAGTTTATTTAAATGATAATCTAACATTAATCGGTTCAATGATTTCAATGAAAAAGGCATAATAGTTATTATTCTCATATTGAATTATTTGATTAGATGAATTAATTAAATATTTAAGCATCGTTTTTTTTCTTCTCTTTTCATATATTATTTTCATATTTCTTAATTTTGTAATAGTGTACATGCAATCTCAGAGAACTCAGTTGTTTCTGCTGAAGGTTATGTACTTTTCTATACACTTATTCAATGAATTATTCATCTATTAAATTGGTTCTCTTTCTTTTTTCTCTCTTTTTTTGGTTCTTCTTTATTTTCTATTCATTTTTGGTTTGTGTATTGTGATGTTTTGAAATTGATGAATTTTTGTTTTAACTAATAGTCATAAAGTGATTTCATTATATAGAGAGATATACACTTGAATGTACATTGTATTATAGTGCCTAATGTAATTGTTTTCAAGTTTTCAATTGCCCTCTTATTTACATATAGACATTTAGTTATTTTCATTATTATTATTATTATCTTAATGTGGTTATTTTCTGATTGTTATTGTGCATAATAAGACTCAATTTAATATGAATATTTGAGTTCACTATTGTTTGGGCTTTCATGAATGGAAAACAGTTATACATATATATATATCTATGTATGAAAAGCGGATGAATCAAATGAAGCAATGATTAATGATATGTAATTGTAAACTAATTAAATTAATTGGTACCTTAGTAGTATATATATATAACTTCGTCTTTCTAAATGATTAACATACCAGTATATTGTAAATTGTTGTGTATTATTGTTCCTATTTAAGCATCCATGGACCATGTACAATACTGATATATGTATATTAATATATCATTGTACTTTCTTTTTAATATAATGTGATTCACTACTACTCTATTGCTACTCTACACTTACTAACATTAATACAACTGCTTAATTTATCGAATTAAGGCTGTGATGTTTATTATATTTTCATTGTAAAAAGAAAAGAAAAAAACAATCTATACCACCTTTTTATTACTAAATAGATTAGATTACGACTAATAATTGTACTCTATAAGAACAAACAGATAAAGATCATATTAACCTTTACCTTTAAACAAGAGAGATATTCATATTTATTTTTAAGGATTCGCGTAAAAACTGCTTCTTTATTATTATTATTATTATTATTATTATTATTATTATTATTAGTTTATTGATTTAATAAACAATAATAATAATAATACTAATAGCTCAATTCTTGATTGAATTTACTTCTCCTTTTCATACTGTATGTTTTCAACATTCAATTGATTGTACCATCTATTCTGTTCAGAGAAAAGATAGTGCATGGAATTACAGTATTACATAATAAAATATTACAGATTTTCAAGTGTATACATTCATCTATATATATATATATGTAATAAATAAATGTAATTTATTATTACTTATATATTTTTAAGTGAATAAATGATTTATTTTTTTCATAAACTTATCATTTGTTATATCTTGTGCACTGTGTCCCTAATCATGTATAAAGTGATGATACCGCCGCCAATTAGAGAACAATGATTTATCGATCGGACCAATGACGCGTAAAACCTGTACGAGCAGTTTAGAGTCCTTATCAAGACTGTTTCCTGCTTAGCTCTGCCTGTTTTATTCCAAAACACCAATCTCAGCCTCCATGATATCAATCATGTATTTCAAACTTACTGAGTTTATATACCAACCAGACAGACCACATTGTACCATAAAATAGGAAACAATATTTGTACAAGATTTAGCCAAATGTGGCTGTGAATGTGTGAGGTAGTAATTAATAGACTGGGCATGACTCAAGAATGGTAAATCATATAATAATAGTTCATAGGTCAAAATAAAGCTTATAATATTAGGAACATGAATATGAATAGTTTAGTTACTTAACAATTGTACGATAAAAATATACGTATAATATTGGTGTATAAATGGATCCCCAAAGTTACTATTCATTATTCTCATCAGGATATAACATTACTTATTTGTTATTTTATGATTATAAAGAAGTTCTTGTTTCAGACAATGTTATTATGAAGTTGTGCGATCAACGAAACTAATTGTAAATGTATGTTGATTGTAATACACCAGTACTGGAAATAGATTAGAATGAGGTGTTAATATTCTTATTAAGACTTGAACTCGTTACTAATAGATTCAAATGACACTTACTATAGATGAACGCAATGAGTTATGAATGTCAGGTTACATATATACTACTTGTAAGGGGTCATATTTTCCCGTTGTTAATGTTCACAACTGTATTTTACCTCTGTTTGCCCACCTTAACTAATTGATAGTGCAGTGCCAACCCTAATGTGAGTCCAGGTTATTTAGATTTTTCGTCAAGAGAAATCACTTTTATGTAATAGGGATAACAGTGGTAATATTTTTTAAATTCAGATTTCCATAATGACTTTTACAGTTGTCTGATTGATTATTGTCACTTTTATCTTGTAATTTTTGTTATATCTTAACGTCTACGCCATTTTATAAAATGTAAGAAGTTTTTTACATTTTTATTTCGGATTTGTTAAGTATCAAGTCCTTTTTGTTTAAATCCTCCTGTCTCCTTCTTGGGTTATGGGTAATTGTCAAAATGTTGTCAGTTGCCGTACCATGAAGTTCGTATTCAAAGAATCTCAATCGTTTGTAATGAGAATTTATCGTAGGTCTAATCGTATATCCAACATTTGAGATTAGTAGTTCAATAATTTTCTATACTGAATCTTTATTACCGTGTAAAAGAAGTGAAGAATATTTGAGCAAACAGTTGCTTAGAATGACTTCATCAGGCTCTACGGTTTTAAGCCTATAATTGTTGTGATAATTGACTAAGGTCAAAATAAGGCATATACTAATGAATTTGACAATGTTATATGTTAGAAATGGTTCCATACTAGGACTGAACGGCCGTCTAATGCTTCCAGGTTTTCCATGGTGGTCTAGCTTCAATTGACTCATGATTTCAACTATTGAAATTTCTAGAATCCTCACAAAACCCCTTCTGATACAAATGGCAAACATTTGCATCTGTTACGATATATATACCTTGGAATTTTGTTATTTGCAAATTAGAAAGTTCATTTAATAAAGGTCAGAATGATTTGGAGTAAAGTGTTCAGTCACAATCAGTAGAATAGTCATTTAGCAAAAATGTAAATTTCACTGGTTGAAATCATAAGTCAGTTAAAGTGAGATATCAACTCACTGAAGACAATGGTGTACGGTGGCGCAACTTCGTGGATTGGTTGAAGTTAGACATTTACACCGTTGGATGCCGACTCAGTGGTCCAGTGGTTAAGTGCTCGCGCGCGAAACCAGTAGGTCCTCGGTTTGAATATCGCAGGGAGAGAGGTCGTGGATGTGCACTGTTGAAGACTCCCATACTAGGACGAAACGGCCGTCCAGTGTTTCCAGGTTTTCCATGGTAGTCTAACTTCAATCGACTCATGATTTAAACCAGTGAAATTTCTAAAATCTCCACAAAACCCCTTCTGATAAAAATGAAAATGCCAAAATTTGTGTTAAATGAAATGCATAATAGGCGAATTTCATCTTGTTAATTGAGATAATAATGATAATAGTAATAGTAATAATATTGTTGTGTGAATATAATATGTAATAACAGGGGTGTTATCAAGATAATTACGATAAACGAATTGGGAATGATGAATGTGAAGTTTAAGATAGAGGTAATCAAAATATAATAATAATAATAGAAATAATAATAATAATAATAATAATAATAATAATAATAATAATAATAAGAAGAAGAAGAAGAAGAAGAAGAATAATAAGGAAAAAAGGAAGGAGGTAAGCGGTTTATATTATTCGGTTTAGGTATCCGGTAATCCAGTCTTAGGCCAAGGTAAACATAGAGGCTGGATATACCTTTCCTGGATACATAAGTTTGGTTTTCTAAAGTTGATTCAGACTGCTTCAGCTATGTAGAATAACCATAATCTAGCTTCTAGATGTAGATATTTTGGAACTTGATACAAAATAGTGAAAGCTTCCTCTATTTTGATATGATGTTCACTATCTACCAAGTGAGAAAGGATAGTGTTGTGAATCGATTCAGTGACTCCTTTTCCCAACTATGCTGGTACATGTTCATGAACACTCAAGAATAAAACCTTTGTAAAATATCATAATTATGGACTTATAACTGTAGAGCTTGATGATGAAGTTATTGTAAACAATTGTTTTTGAATATTCTATGGGGATTTTCAAGCTGCTATAAAGAAGTGAATGGGAATTAACAAAGGGGATTATCAAAACGTCACAATTTCCCGTGTAGTAATAGTAATAATAATAATAAGTAACCTTTTTAACTGAAATTTTATCGTGTTTGTATACACGATAAATTATTGGTACGAAACTAGTTTTTTTTCTGGTTTGTTGAAATAAACCATAATGGGTCTTATTTACTTACTTACGCCTGTTACTCGTCGTGGAGGAGCATAGGCCGCCCACCAGCACTCTCCATCCAACTCTGTCCTGGACAGTCCTTTCCAGTTCATTCTAGTTGTTATTCATCCTTTGTATGTAAGTGTTTATATAATTAAAATATTCATTGCTGCTTACGAAATAAATGCAAAAACTATCTGACTATTTATCTTTATCATACTAAAAAAAAAGAGATTTATATGAATTGGTAATTCACTTAGAATATTTGAAATGGATTTTTTGTTTTACACTGTATCTACTAATGACAGTTACATTAGTGTAGATTTTACAATTTACAATAATGTCACAGTTGTTAACATTGTAGATGATAGTTGTTTTGTGAGGGTTATTTTGGTACAAAAAAACAACATAAATTTTGTAACAATTGTTCAACTTAACAACAGTTTGAAAGTCTTAACATTTAGTTACTACTAATCATCAAAGTTTTTTTTTCTCAATCATCATATTTATAGAATAATCATTAGATAGAAAACTTAAACCTTGCACTATATTGTAAAAGAACACTTGAGTAGACTATCTATGAATGGAATATACTCAAAATATATGTAGTGCTTAGTTTGTGTGTTTCTATTTATAGAAGCGTTATGTTAAGTGAAAATCTGGTTACGCAATATTACTCAAAGAGTAATTAAAGAAATTACAATTTGTTGACAAGTTTTTTATAAAGCATAACATTGGGATATGACTGCAAAGTATTTTAGAATCATTCTGATTTACCTATACAATTAATCGAGATTATTCAAATATAAA